AACTGATTGTGAACCTTAGGAAAATCTAAGGTAGAATGCATTCAAAATGGTAGGATAGTAGGTTCATAATGCCGCATTTAAGTTAATGCATTGGGGCGTTTGTTGTAAACACTCGTCGCCGATTTGTTTGTGTTTGGCCTAAAAGAGGGCACGAAGCCCCGGTGAACCAGAGGTGATCTGTATGATAAAAGAGAGGGAAAGTTTGCCGACGGGCGACTACTGGCCACAAAGGGCCAAGGGCTTCGACCTTAGAGAAAAGTGTTATGTGAACCTATGGTTACAGAGGACATATGGTTAAAGTGTCAAGAGGATCCGAGAGGATCAAAGGCAAGGGGAAAAAGGGCACATGGTGCTGCGGCTTCATGTGAAGTTTATAGTGGTTAAGGCTAGATAGCTAGTTAGGTTGTGAGACGGAGTAGACCGTCTTACTGAGTTTTAATACTCACCACCTTACCAGGCTTGCATGATACGAGATCCGGTCAGGTGACTCATAGGATGCGACAAGGCAGGATGATGCGGCATGCACGGTAGAGGCTTCCCAAGGCGTGGTAGTATATAGTTCTTTACATTGTAATTTCACCGCACAATGTAACAAAGAAATTTTAGAGTAATGAAATACACAAGTTAACTAGCATTTTGCGGTGGGATTCTTTGTTCCTAAAGCGGGATTCCACATCGATCCTTCATACATCTTCTTTGTTTCTTCTACTACGTGTCCATATTTTTTTGCTATTTTTGTGGGTTCCTATTCTAAATTTGTATCGTCTCCTCATCTTCGTCAGGCCTCCTCATCACCGGAGCCAACGGAGATGGGTCGCTGATGGGAAACACAGCCACGTAAATGGAGATTTTTACGAACATACATGGAGAAGGAATCTACAAGAAGGTAGTGGTCGGTATGTGTTGAGAAACCGGAATCAGTAGACCAGAAAATGGCGCATTAGCGATTTCTGGAAAAAGTTTTGCTTCTTTTGCTGAATGGGAATCGATACGAAAGTCAATGGAAAAACAAAATCCCGAAAGAAAGTGGAGTTCTCTCTCACTTGGGCTGAGAGTAACATCATGAGGAAATTCTTTAATGGGATTGAGAAGAATGAGTGATTGTAGCGACGAGGAAGTGGTCTTCTACTTTAGTAGAGCTGGAAGCTTATGAGGAGAGAAGATTTTCTTGAGAATCTGTATATTGGAATCTAATGGAGAATCCGTATATCACTTGTGATATCATTCATAATATTAAAAGCATCGATGATTTACAGAGATGGAATCTCTGTGGATCGTGATGGGTTTCGTCAGTTTAAGAAGAATCCTTGTTGGTTTAATGGCAAAGCGAAGTAACCTGGAGAAACTATATGGAAAATGCAAAAGAAATATGATTTGATGATGGATTTGCAATAAGGAATCATGGAAAGAAATTCTCAAATTCAATGGATTTAGTTTTCGTTATAGCTTCTCTGTTGTGTTCTTACAAAGGTTGTCAGTAAAATCTTCTATATATTAATTGAGGAGAAACTAATGCGAAAATCGTAGGTATCATTCAAAGAGTGTTTTAAGGAATACATTAATTAAATCAACAAATCATAACATTCCAATTTGCCATAATGGAAATTTCTACAATATTTTTAATATTTTTTAATATATATGAGGCATTAATGACAAAAATATATACTTGCCAAATCCATAATCCGGAAACTCAAGCTGGTTCAATTAGTAGTATTTTGGTCAGTGATAAATTTGGGTTTAACAATATTTTAACAATAAGATGTAGATCACTCGACTACATTCTTTATCATACATTATAAGATGATCACTCAATCTATCAAAAGGTTTAAAGGTTCTCCAATCTTTGACCCACTTCTTCATAAATTCTCTCCTGCTCTGCAGCCCCCAAGCGATATGTCTCTATGGATAACGCTAGTGGGTCCAAGTCGAAGAAAGCAAAGAGCAAGTCCACTGCTCGTGGGTCTCAGTCTAAGTCTGTCACTCTGCGTACTAGACCACATCGCTTCAGCCTGTCGTGCCTAAGAAGAAGTTCATCGACTTGACTCTTCATCTGATTGACAATGGAGGTTATATTTCGTCGCTAGCTCGATCTGCGATGGCGCATGCAACCAGCGATGTTCGCATGAGTGACGCTCCAGTTTCTGGATCTGGAGTCACTGAAGACGGTCCTCCTGCCTTCTTGCTTTATTATGCAGAGAATCGTCGTCAGGTTTTGGAAAAAGACAGGAAGTATCCTGAGATCAAGGAGTGTGACTAGGAGCCCTATTTTGAGACGTTTGCTACCACCAAGTCTGCCAAATAGTATGCTCTTATCTCCTCTCGATCTTTTAGTGATATGAGAGTCATGCCTTTTGGTGTTGAAAACTTTCTCTATGCCCAAAATCTGATGGAATCGGTC